TGTACTTATTACGACTCGTGGCGAAAAAAAAATCAATAATCAATTTTTTTACTAAATGATAGTGTTAATTGATTTTACAAACGTTTTATTTGTTTTGAATGTATATAAATGTTTAATTTTACGACGCGCATATTCTTTTACGAGTGGTTCTTGAAAGAAAAGGCTTATCTGTATCGGTCGAGTGCCAACGACTCCATAAAACTGTTTTTATACGCTTTTTAATGTATGACAAAATACAACGCATATGTTAAAACAGCTAACTGTATATCAATCGCATTATCTATTTATCTAACAAAATGTGTATACTCGTGTTCATTGTTATTACTTGGTTTATTGACGATAAGTATTTAACATGAACTATGCGAGTTAGTTTTAAATTGAATGCGCTCGTAATGAGTTTGATGTTTAAATTTCATTATGCTTCCTTCCAGTAAATAAACCGATTTTTTTAAAAGACGTATTTTAAAATGTAACCTAAATTACACTATTTTAGTTCCTATAAAAGGTTTATAGGAATTATTTTTCTGTCAAAGCTCAACTGAACGTTAATCCGTATCTTTGAGATAAACGTTATTGTGTTTTAATGTCAACATAATTTTTTTTACTCGAAATACACTAAGAACAACATGTCAAATGATAAGAAGAATAGACTTTGTATTTGCTCTGTAATTAAGATAAAAGAAAAACGTCTATACTGCTAATAAATCATATAGATGTATTTTTAACTCGGTGTGATGCATCTGTTTTTATGATGATTTTATTTTTAAAACTTTTCAACTTTTATATGTAATAGTTACTAGTTCCTTCTAGCTAAAATGTCCTTATGCGACTAGAGTCCATTGACATAGTGTTTTAAGAAGTCTTACGTTTATTTCATTTTACTATAATCACGTTCACAAGAAATGACTGCGAAATCGTAGTATGCATAAAAGAGATGGTTTGATTCGACAGCTTGTCTTCAGAACTTGATCTGATTTCACTCTCATTCATCTAATCCATCATAATTATTAATATCTCGAGACAAATTATGCCGGAATAGCGAATTTATAATTTGATTTGACGTGAACGCGAAATCTCTTTATGGGTTCTACCCGTTATAAATTATTAAGCAGGTAATTTAAAAATCTGTCAAAGCACTAACAAATTTTCACTTTTTTCCCTTCGCTAACTAGATTTTTTAACGCTTTACCATAGTTTTCTAGCTCGAGGGGAGTCATTAACACTTTAGTCCCTATAGTCATTAAGGACTACATCAAGCAGTTTTGCTTCATAACGCAGTTAGACACCGTTTGTATTTGATTTTCTAGACCAGCATTCATTTTATGTAAGTAGAATATATAACATTAACACTTATATTAATACTTATGCGTGGGTATAAATCTGCATTCATTTTTTTAGTCTTAGGTGTCGATTTAACCGTAATAACGACATTGTGAGGGCGCGATGAAAAAGGAAATTTCACCAACTGGTTTAGTTTTTAAAAAAATATTCGCTTATAAAACAAGATCGGCGTGGTCCTGACCTACTCGAAATTTCCCCACGCAAATGATTAATATATTGTGCAATAAAACAACTGTACAAAATATACTCGTAATGTGAATGAATAAAAAAACACCATTGGTGTTATAAACATCGTTTGATCACTTTGTTACAGTTATTACAGTGAAATTAAGGGAAATTTAACGTTCAAAATAATCGCAGTCACAAAGTTACGAATATTTGTTTTTTAAAATTTGACGAATAACTATTAATTATAGGACGTACAACTCGTATATTAATAGCCTTAAGAATTTCGCGTGATGAAGACCCACGAGTATTAGAAGGTAAAAGACCAGTAGGAGTACATTTTTCGTTGGAATTTCTCTGCGGTCATCATTTTGGTCAAACAACAAGAAGATACGGCGCAAATTAGTATTCCTAAAAGTGATTTGTACGCTATCAAACGAATAAAGTTCACTTATTGACCTTGACGCAACTCATAGAGTTAACAAGTTACTTTTAGGTAGACATGCAACTCCATAATAATGTTATTACTTGTCATGGCCGTCAATGAGACTGCAGTGCATCTCGTGGATATTATTCATTAAGCTAACGTCTCCACGGAAAATAAGTAACCGCATTACCGGAGGTAATAATTAAAGGCAATCTGGAAACGAGCGAAAGAAAGAAAACGTTTCGTCACGATACGATGTCAGGACGATTTTAATGAAAAACGCGTTCCAAAAAATGGTAACACAGAACTCGTTGTAGCACCAGAGGTCCGAAAAGACTAAGAACATGTATTATCTTAAGTAAAAAGACGGCTAGTCGACAGTGTTGTGTAAGCCCCTAGGTGTGTACCGCTGGTTTCCATTTACCACAATGAGCGCCATAAGTAAACTCATCGGAGTGTGCGTGATACGTCGTTCCGACAGCCAACTAAATACGTGAACTTGGACGTTACACGTGTATAGCTAACGAACTTGTTGGTCGAGAGCCGTTGTTTTTCCGGTCGTCGATAAAAAAAAAAACAAATGAAGAATAACACAATGACACGACAACGACCGCTTGGTTACATTATACGTGTGGTTTCATTCTTATTACAGCAGTTTTAATCTTTTTTCTACTCGAATACTAATCAGTCCTTTAAGCTCATTAACATTATGACGTTTAAAACACGTCTATGATCGTTTTTTATCCTCTGGGCACGCTGCACATCTCAAGCGGATACCGTCGCAATGATACGAGTTGCGCTGTATGATGTGTAATGCAATAAATTATAATAAACATAACAGTCATCATTATGAGGGTGGTCGTCACATTGTTGTCAACAGTCAATGTATAATTTATACGCGTGAATACAACAAAGCATTAGGCAATTTTGTAGTAATTAACCGAAAGTCATTTGAAAAGGGTCCAATGGCAATTCCATCAAAATTGATAAAGAAATGCACTATAAAAACGAGAAAATAATTAAAAATATAAAACGGTCATTAAATATTTGGAGCTTTAATCGAAAATAATGAAGATTGTCATTGTAACAAGGAACTTTTCGTATTATTGAAACTACATAAGAATAGCAAACAAACTATTTATACAAAGTTTGACGATTGATTATGTTTACGTTATTTTTATCATATATCAAATTTACAAATAAAACGCATAAAAAACACAAACATTTAATTTAGTAACATGTATTGATATTATACGTATAATTAAGGGAAAAAATAATACTCGTCCAATTGCCCGTGGGAACTAAAATGTTTAAAATATTTAAATAAAATTTTTGAAGGGTTAATATAATATTATTATTTTAAACGTGTTATTTATATTCCTATAAAAACGTTGGATAAGATATTTAAGTGGGAGGGTTGTCGCCGATGGGAAGGACCAATATTATAGAGACCAGTATTTTTCCAAAATAATAAAGTGTGTTACAGTGCAACATAATCTCGTCTGGGTAGGGTACACAAAATTATGCAGTGAATTATCCCTCGAAATACATAAAACGTTTAGCATACACACGCACATTTGTTTATAATACAATATACTCCGACAACAGACTAAACAAAATCGTTTATTGACTGCATTTCTTTCTGAACGAATAATATATAATTTATCGATTTAATGAACTCAATGTGATTTACCCACTTATCCGAGTTCGTTCAGAATAAGACGTGACAAAAAAGGAAAAGAAACTCGATAAGTTATCAATGANCCGACAACAGACTAAACAAAATCGTTTATTGACTGCATTTCTTTCTGAACGAATAATATATAATTTATCGATTTAATGAACTCGATGTGATTTACCCACTTATCCGAGTTCGTTCAGAATAAGACGTGACAAAAAAGGAAAAGAAACTCGATAAGTTATCAATGAGATATTGTACGATTTCCGTCATGCGAGCCAATCTAACACACTGGCGGTGGGCACTGTGTTATTTGGCCCCTAGAAACTGCAATTAACCTACGTTTGACCAAAGTGTTGTTAAAATGTGAAAATTATACACAACAATCAAAAATTAAATCATTTAAAACTTTCCCTTGCCCTATCAGAAGACCACTTAATACCATAACGATGTAAAAATGTATGATCGTTGCGTTATGTGCGAGTAAAAGTAAATTTATTCATTTTTCACTCGTTCGACATTACTAAAAAAATAAGCCTATACGCCATAAAATCGATGACTCTATCTGCACGAAACCCCGTCTAACAATAATGTATTATTACTTTTTACTGTGACTACATCATACTTATGAATTCCTCGCCATTATTTTTGTCTTAAACGCTATTTTCTAAATTCGCCTGTTAACTTATTCCGAAATGAGTATCGTAGTGACGGAAAAAAGTGAAACGATGCCAACACCACATTGATTATTATAACTCATAAACAAATGAACGTGCCGTGAGCGCAACTGGCTCTATGCCTTGGCGGCCATTGTACCTAAGCGAGTATGGGACTAATACCCTGCAAGACACGAGTTAACTAATAGAGTTACTTGTCTGTTGACGGACGTCCGATGGCTTCTTGCGATTTCTTCCATGGCTCATCGCTAGTTCTTAATTAATTACGGGCTTAGTAAAAATGCGTTCATTATCTAAAAATACTACGAAAGAAACGCGTTCTGAAAAAAAAATACTTGCTTATGACTCAGAGCCGCTACGTTTAGTAAACGCACCCTAGCAAGCAAAAGTTATTACTGCCATAACTCACAGCATGTTACAACTGTTGACGTAGCCACGTGTGGGTCCCTTCGTCATTAAGAAACCTCAAAATAGGTACAATCAAATGCGGCAGACAGCATCTGGACTTGGTATAAATAAATTTTATATATGTTGACACAGATTTCAACGATGATAATATTACGATGTCTCACGCAAGAATATCTCTAAATTCTTGAAAATGTTAAACGGGTTAAAGACTCGTAAGGAAAATTATCTGATAGGATATAATAAATCAGCATTTAAAAAAAGTTCCAACAGTAAAAGCATAACAATAATTATTAGTTTCACATACCGTTATCGATATGTTTGTCTTGCAAAGTGTCCTCTGGGTCCGAGTCAATGTGTGGAATAGAGTTGTCAGCGTCAAAGACGATGTCGTCGTTAATATCACTGCTTTCCGATGTGGATTTGCCTGAAGTTTTACTCAAATTGCAGACTTTGTCTTGACATCCTCTGCAAGGGTACACGATTCGGTCGAGTGGTACGCGGTGTACCGAACGGTCGACCACTGCAACCAAGTGTTTGAGTGTGGCGCTCAACTGGCCCAAGTCACCGGCGAGCATGGCCGACGATTCCGTGGACAGAAGGGTGCGCAGCCGTACGCCCGCGCCGATCCAGTTCAACGTCAATCCAGACTGGGCGACGTCTAGCAACAGGTAAGCGTCAGAGGCAGATGCGCTGAAAGACGGTGCCGCCAAGTGAGTCAGTACTCCACGCCGACCGTGGCTAAGAGGCCATCCTGAACACGCATCGCAACACTAAAACAAATAAGTTAGGTTCAATAAAAAAATTAGTTCACAACTCCCAATATTTGTTGGTAATAATGTTAGGTGGCTTTTATCACCATACGGTATTAAAATAATAGCCTTGAATGCGAAAAGGTCAATATTTACATGTAACGTTAATGCATTGTCATGTTTGTTAACATAAAACAACACACTAGCCTCGTTGTTGAACGACACTGCCTACGTTCAAAATTGAATAACAATGACCGAATCGTTTTTTCTCATAAAAAGTCAGACGGAGATTAATTTGTAAACTTTTTTTTCAATCTCTATGAAAGAAAACGACAAGTAATTGCAAGCATTTGGTTTAATTGATTTAATCTTTAAATTTGATCTTTAGCACCAAAGAGCTAATTTATATTTTTTCACAGTAACGTACTCGCATAGCTTGTTAAAAAAACGCACCATTACCGTTGTTATATACGTTTACAGTTTACTGGTGTTGATACTACAAAATGATAATGATTTTTGTATCATTCCTTATATTAAACTAAACTAGTTTTGGTACAAATATCACTCGTTTTTACATGAACACTACTAAGTATAATGCTGCATGATACTAATGAGGAAACGATTGGACCAAAACATTTTTACGCATTTATAGCTAGATAAAAATTGTACACGACTTGGCAGCGTTGCAAGGAATCAAATTAAACACTCTGATTTTTTCTCTAATCTTCAAAATACCTACACTAAGCCGATGCCGGTATATTCCACTGGACATAAACTTATTTTTAAACCATGTTCTCTAACAGACGGGTCGTTGTAACAGTAAAAAATCAGCTGAACGTGCTGTGTGTACAAATTATTATTTGATAGAACGAAAAAGCATTCAAATGTAATTTTCTAGATGCACCTTTTAATTAAAAAAAAGTAATTTAGTAAAATATAATAAAAAACTGTTGTGCTGAGCCTTGAGCGTGAATAAAGTGGCGGCCAATATTTTACACATTTACAATTATTCCAATAACAACTATAGGGTTTTGGATTTATAAAATACGTCCCTGGAGTAAACGAAATCGAAACGAGTCCGAGCGGACGATACGACGCCAAAAGTACAAGTATGTAATAACTGTGCACCCCAGGAAGTAACAACAATCGACTAATTTAACAGTTGAACGGTTGCAAACCGACAGAGGCTTCCCGCAACAAATAATTAAAGTAACCGGAAAACAGAAGATGCAGTGCTGACAAAAATACTTAATTAATTGCCTATGGAAGTTAATAAATCGGACCATTGGTCTAGACGAGGGATGTTGAATAGTTGTATCATTTGTAAACGTAGAGACTGTTTACATACACATTGTAAACTACACGTAACAAAAATTATATATATTCAATAAATTCCATCACGTTAGTTACTGTGCGTTGGTTTTCCACGCCCTAGTCAAACTAAATTGCTTGGTAATATTATGGATATTGTAAAAAGAACAATTTTGTTTGGGTTATGAGTCGATGTGACCAACCGCATAATTCAGGTTTTGCATACATCTGCGTGCCAATGGCAAAACAGCTAACAGTTAGGATTCGCACAGACACATATTATTATCATTTCCAATTTCGTGTACACCCAATGGCATAATAAAGTATATTGGACGTATATCGAAATAAATCGCAGATAAAAAAAACAATTTAAATTAAATAAAGGTTTGATATTAAAAATATTAGAGTAAATTTAAAGTTTAAAAAGTGCTTGGTACATTTTTCCACGTTAACAATTGAAAAGTACACTTGCCTAATATAGAAACATCATAGACTTCTTCAGCTCAACTCAAGTAAAAGTTCAACCTAAACTAAAATGTAACATAAAATATACAGTAAAACTGTAAGTAGATTATCTGAAATGAGTCATGTACTAGATATTATATAAGGTTGATGTCTATCTATAAAATTTAACTCTAACGGTGTACCGTTTAAGTACTTATATTACTAGTAACATCATTTTCTTTGAAGTATCATATACAAGCAACAAAAATGGTACAGAATATGTCGTAATATGGGTTTGTCAAAAACGGAAAAATAAAATCATAACCCGTAATGGCACTGTGTTAGTATGTTTGTTCTCGGTAGGTTTTTGAGGTCGGATTAGTCTTAACAATGAACGACGACCCACAGATGACGCCACAGACTCATCATTAACTATTGACGTGGTGATAAGTCCGTTAATCTCAGACGAGGAAGATACTTTTGATCTTTTGAATCTATATTGTACATTATAGCACATGACTTAACTCGAGAAGAAGCAAATTTATCAGCTACCAATAGACCAACCTTGTGTTTCAGACATGTTAGACCTTTAACCCGAAAATTTTCTATACACTACCAGGTTCACGAATTCTGTAGTCGTCTGCGAAACACATTACATAGAACTGTTATAGTTTGCTTGGTTCTGTCTGGTTTTCGAGGTCGCGATGGCGCCAATTCACTACAATGGAGATGAGTAGTGAGTATATTAATAGTTATGGTTAAAGATTATAATAAAACTATTTTACCTACAGCGAAAAACGGTTTAACGAAAAACAAATTCGTGCTACTTACAGAAACAGACGGCTATGTAATTTATTCAAAGAATATAATAGACTTTATAAAGGCGGTAGGCAAATAAAACATCCGAAAGTAATGACAAACTAGGAAACGATATAAAGTAAGCATGACTAAACTTTGACACGTTTTTATTAGCTTAAAATTCCTAACTGGCTTCTTTGAAAATTACAACCTTAAGCAGAATTAGCATATATTTTCAAACGATTTACCTCTAAATTACAACTCCATAAATTTTACACTGGCTGTCCAACATCAATTCAATCATTTAAATGATAGATGTTTATTCGCATCACACACGATTAGAGGGAATTCAATTCTCCTTAGACCTTTACGGTTTTAAGCACGATTCGTTCAACATTTAGTATCTCTCCTAGTTTGTAGTGATCTAATAGGATCATTTTGTTAACGAACTGCAATTGTCTAATCTAACCGTTATCTCTTCGGGTTTTTAAATTACCAGACGACTATATACATTACGGTTTATTGACATTAGATTTCCTGGCGGAGTACCGCCGCCGAATCAATAACAGACAGATCAAACTGGTTTACCATTAAAGTTCATTGCGACCAAACCGGAGGCGTCTGCGTAATAATTTTAGCCATCGACAACCGATACACATTGCATTGTTTCATAATATTTATGTATTACCAGACTTATTTTTAAACGGGTCCTAATAAAACGACAATTGACGATGATTTTTTCTCATAGGGTATGACCGGTTTTTTGTTCTCGTACAAACCGCCGTTCGATTAAACTCTTTGCGTTCTTTGTGATCCCTCGGTCGTCACGGATACGCCCTGTAACCGCCTAGCGTTTTCTTACCGAAACACATATAAATTTAGTAATAATTACGACAATCTTACGTTAATAATTTCATTAGTAACGGTATACGAGCGATGACCACCGACAGCAGGCGGAGTAGAGCGACCCGTTCGATTGCGACTTTCGAAATAAACATGGGAGTATAGTACTATTATTACACACACGCAGTGCAGAGAGTATATGACGGTTACCCGATAACCATAGACGGTAGCCGGTAATAATGAATGCCCTTGGTCAATGTATAATTACGACTCCAGTACGGAGTCGATATTTTCTGGTGTCAGCATCGCCGCCGCATTTGTTCCCTGACGTGTTGGGCTCTCGTACCTTGGGCGGCAATTGGTACGCGTATAGCAAACATGTGTCACTAGCGTCAATGGAATTCGGTCGATCAACATGTGCACGACACGAGATTGTCGTCAGAAAACAAACAAAACTGAATTACAAACAGAGAAATCGCCATTTGCTATCAGGAAATCGTTGGAGTTTTGTACATGTTCAGAACCATTATCACTTTACATATTTACCACAACTTTCGGGATCGCACACGGCTGTTATTATATCGTATGAAACACTTTCACGATATTATACATCAAAGTTTGGGGATAGTCTGCGCAAAAATTTCCATCAAATGATCTTCGCTAGAGGCGAAGAATTGCACCCTAAGGAAAACTATCAATTTCTATACACTCATCTGTTTTGGCACAGTACGCGGTGACGATTATCGAACGACGTCGAGAGAAACTCCATCTAGGACGACAATAGGGCGACTAGGACGACCCCTACACATTGACGAACAACCCCGATGAGTACGAGTGCTTCAAAACGATAGTCGGTTTTGCAATCATTTTTCTTTCACTAAGGAAAACGTGTAGGAGTTAAATCATTTCATCACTCCTACGTTGCTGCAACGATTGTAAAAACAGTTACACAATGTTCATTAATAATTGCCTATAAAGAATCTTTCGAACCTAGTAATATTTATTACACGATATTAATAACATTGAAAAAATTCATATCACCTACTCTATTCTCATGTGATCAGAAGACATTCGAAACGATTAAAAATGCAACACGTAATTNTTCATTAATAATTGCCTATAAAGAATCTTTCGAACCTAGTAATATTTATTACACGATATTAATAACATTGAAAAAATTCATATCACCTACTCTATTCTCATGTGATCAGAAGACATTCGAAACGATTAAAAATGCAACACGTAATTTTATTTTTAATAAAATTTATAATTAATTTTTATTACATAATAAAGATGAAATATTTTGAATTGTTCTAAAAAAGATAAGGCGGTCACAATTGAAAATTGACTAATTTATATAATAAACTCATCAGTTTAGAATTATTATTAGAAAAAATAATATTATTTTGGGCGAAACAAAAATATTAGTTTTCATCATTAAATGTAGTTTAAAAACATATCACACATTTTATATTTCTATTTAAATAAAATAACATTAATTTAAAACTACTTGACATAATGAAACATTTTATTTCGTTTTAATAGTAGATGTACAGTTGAAGATGATACGCAAAACTTGTCTTATGAGTAAGCCACAACTTGTCATATTGATTTACAATATGTAAACAACCGTGAAATAACAGTTAATAGTTTATAACAGTGACAATTAATACGGTAGATATAGCCGATGCTAGATTTCCCAAAAATATAGACGATGCAATTAAAGTTTATTTATTAAGCTAATCAACATAACGAATATTTCAAAAATAATGAGCATTTTTATTTCCAGGTGGGAGGAGAAACAAAGCTGCCAAATGTATAGCGTTAACTAGAACTTTGCCACGTGTACAACAAATAAATAAATAACTATAAATAATTTTGAGTTTATATTAATGTTACAATAAGTATTTCTGTTTAATACAGGTGATTTGGTGTCGTTTATAAAAATGATTAAAATTAATTTTTTTAACATTCATTTTTAGTGATTAAAATAAATAAATTTAAAATAGAATCAAATGATTTTTTCTGTAATCATTTAAAGATTTAAAAAAACAAGTCCGTGATTTGTGTTTAGTAACACATTAATGTAAGACAAAATGAATTCCATTACAACATTTAATGAGTTTCTATTTGAATTAGAATTGAACGCTCTTCATCTGTTGTTTTAAATTCCAATTCTAAATTCAAAAGAATAAAAATAAAAATATGAGACATTTAATTGATGTTTTAATTAGTATAGTTTTATTTTAAATACCTAGTTCAATTGGCTCCTTTGGTAATTGTATATAAGTTTCTTCAGTAAATGGATCAAATTTAAATCCGAGTTGAAAATATTTTTTCATAACTACAGTTTCGATATAATCTTTAACTTTTTTTTTTAAGAATTTGAAAAATGATGAATTTAGGTCTTTGTCAATAATGGATTTATATTTGTCAACCCATTTATCCCAAACATAATTCTTATCATAAGGTACAAAATCACAATGAGGTAACATTTCATTGTATATACTTGGTACTATTATTCTAGAAAATAAATCAACAGTTTTTAATGTGCATTTGTATGTAGATATATCGTCACGTGATAGAGTCTGTTCTTTTAGTTCGTCGAGAATTTTTTCTATGGTATTGTACAAACGATTTGTTCTGAAGCACTTGTTAAAAACAGTAGCCAATGGTTTCAAATGTAATAAATCCAAAGTATGTATGGCTCCATCCATCAATATTGTTATTGGAACGATTAATGTGTAGATTATATTCACGAGTTCTTCTGTGCAAATGAATCCATTTGGTAGGTCATTTTCTGTAATTTTTCTTTTGCATACACGTAACATGTTGCTAATAATTGATGAAAAAAGATTGTTTATTACTTTTGCGTATGTGCATCCAAGATATAAAGTCAAACCTCGAGTTTTAGCATTACAATTATGGCCATCTATAGGTATTTCAATAAGATTTTTAAGTATATATGTTTTACTTTTATATTTTACAGAGCGAATTTCGTTTAAGTATTTCCATCCAGAATATTGTAGTAACTTATCTAACTTATATAATGATTCTTGTGTCATCCATCGAGCTTTTGTGTACAAAATCACAGAAAATAATACAAAATATAAATTTAATGAAGACATTGGAAAATAAATAAAGTAATAATGACTGAAATATTATGATCAAAATATAATTCAAAAAAAGTGTCAAAAAGACACGTATTTATTCTGTTCTAAGTGTACATAAAATCAGATAAACATATGTGCTTAAACATCTGTCGTATTACAATAATATTCATTAAATTTTATTATTTTAGAGTTATTCAACTTACTAAACATTTGCGATATTATTTCTAATATTATTGGAACAGAATGTTGTATTAAAAGTAATTAAATGCAAATTTTTTTATGTAAATAAATTAAAGTTATTCTAAGAAAAAAATTATAAAAACTTAACTGAAGTCAATAGTCTTGACTTTTTCTCAAAATTACTTAACGGATTAGGACCATATTTAATAGAATGGTTAATTTAGCGCGTTTGTTTTAATGAATGTAACGAAAATTTAAAAGCATATGAACGTTATTACTGCAAGTTGAATTGGTCTTATTAAACGAATAAATATAAAATATACTGAAATAAACATTCATTGGATATGATTCAATGAACGCTTATTTTAGACTGATTTATCAATGTTCGATTGATTCATAAAATTATTACTGTTGACGACTAATATAGTTGATACTGCATTATTTATAAATAGGTGCGGGGCAACGGCTGAAAGGAAATAGTTAATAATGCATTATGCGAAAAAAAAATTCCGTCAATTAACGGTTATAGGTCAATTTTTTAACAAGTTAACCAACACAATAATCGATGTAACATAACATATATAATTTCCGGTACCACGGAATAATGTATTGCTGTTTATCGATTGGAACAATTGGACGTACATTTCGTGCCAAAAGTAAAACGCCTAAAAAGGTGCGTGGTTTAAATAATAATTGGATATTTATCGAACAATCGTATCACAAAGATATCAGACAGCACACATCATCCGGAAAATAATAATTATTTTTTATTATATAATATTTGATGATAATTTGATCATGACGATAATTTCAACATGGCAGTCCTGACGAACCTTAAGTTCGTAGTAAACCTGTTCATGATTCGGACGCCTCAAAATATATCGGACGTTCAAACGTTTTCCTCTAGGCTATCTAAGGAGATAAACTTGAAATTAAAAAAAAAAACTATTTTTCATGAAAAATTTAACAGCGCGTTTACATTAATTATAGCGGTTCATAGATTCCTCGGATTACATATGATGCAGTGTGCGATTATCCAAAGAGTATACAAAAACGATAAAGCGTACACGTAGCTATTAGTGTGCCCATGGAAGGAAGATAGGAATGATATATTTACGATCAAAACCATATTTTAATACTATTTATGACGTACAAGGAATATTGTGTCGTGTTACTAATTTACCGCGCCCGAGATGCCCGTCGAATAGCCTTTAAGTCCAACTGGCAGTGGATACGTTCACGAGGAGCGCGTTGCTCAATGAACTGCTACAGGTGGGAACGTATTTGACGTTCAAACAAGTCTTGGGAATCTGCTTATCGATCTAGGCGGTACCAACTACAGTAAAAGATACGCGCGATAATAAAAAAACGATTATTATTTATTGATTCTCCGAAATAAGACAGTCGGCAAAACGGTTCGACAGTGCGGTTGATTCGCGGCCGCAATGTTCGCATTGTTGTTCGCCTCAGTAATCGCTCGTCAGCAAAGTATTGTTATTATGTCGTTAAATGGGCGGCTACCAGCGGTTTATATTTATTTACAAAACGTTCAGTTTTTATTTTCGATTTTACAAAGCACTTTGTGTTGTTTCGACTTAAAAACGTATTAACTGACGTGCGTAAGGAAATAGTCGCTTCCGATTTTTTTATTACGCTCAAATACCCAACTCTAGACGGACCAGAAACATATATCGTCACACGTGTCTATTGTGAATAAGTATGTCCGTGTGCCATATTTGCCGTGGCACGCCGTTACTATTTGTGCACGAAACAGTTTATTATGAAGACGCTAATGGTACAGCGGAGTTGAAAAATATATACGACTGTGACCCTCGCGACCGAAACACGACGGATATACGCAATAGCGCCAAACAGGCGCAGCACCCGGCGACGACCGATGTAAGTGTACGGGCGAGGGAACGCGTGTACCGAAGTACTAATGTATGCCTATACATAAATAGATAGGTAGTGACTGGAGTGCACAAAGCGAAATAATAATAACAACAAACGGCGATTGGGCGTTTAAATCTTTAGACTAGCGAGTTACGAATACGGCGAATACAAAATCAGCTTCTAATAATAAGCATTTAACATTGTTGTTTGGATTGGCGATAGACACTGCATTCGGTTTGTATGCACAAGAGGAGTTTGTGGGTCAGGTGCGGTGACAAAAGTTGTTTATCCGAGCGACCCGTAACGAAATTTACATAACATTAAATCGGTTTGGCGTTACATTGGCTTTTCAAGTATATCGTTTGTTATTACAACGCGCGTCTGAGAGCGTATAATAGAACGCAGTGCACACACAATCGTCATGACTAAAAAATTGAACGCCACTTTCCGCACACGCCGCTCGATGGTTCAGGAACGAAAATATTTGGGGGTCACGTTCCCTAAGAAATGCGTATCACCTGTGTGCGTGTGGGTAAATGTCAAAAAATAATTATCGTCATCGGTGGCCGCCGTCTCGAGACTGCGGCCGGTGGAACTCTTCAAGAAAATAACCTGTGCGCGCGTAATACTACAACAATAATACGCGTAAATTATACATAAGTACTGTAATAACATGGACATTTATTTATTCAATTTTTTTACCGTCTACACGATTTACTGTAAATCGCATGGGCTGTGTGAGCGTCCGACAAGCGGTGCCGGCTATAATTGTAAATTTAACAAATTAACGTGCAGCAACAAAAAACATTAAAATCATTCAATCACGTAGGCGGAGAGTTAAACAATATTTTAGACGGGTCGTATTATTTTTACTTTCAAGCCGTCACTTTCGACAAAACATAATAAACACCGGTTTTCATCATTTGTGCATCTCAACACATCAATACAACATTTTACAATATAGCACGTAAAATCCAACATTTTTATTTCGGAGAAAGCTTGGCATTGCAACCCGTTGAAATCTGAGACATAACGCGTGTCTTTATTAAACCCCTCGCGTAAATATCTTTTTACATAATTATTGAAAACTTTCAAAATGGTGTACACCGACGACTAAATTTAAGACAATATTCCACTATCATCAACCGCCAAAATACCATAGATTTATTAAACATATTTCAGGCACAGTTCTAGATTTTCAACTGTCAAAAAATCATTGTCACGATCCATGACAGAAAATAATTTTTTTACCGTAAGGCCTACATCATGTGTCGCGGCGTCCTCGTTGCGACATTCCAACCGAATACGGTAACTGATGCAATAATATTATTCCACGGGAGATGTATCGCACAGGTACACCGCAATATTATGTGCCGCGTTATACAGTGAAGTTTTCCCGTTAACGTCTACACCATTCATTCATAACACAATTTTCAGTGGTCGCATATCACTAACACCACACGCGTTTTATAGACCGTATGTACGATCACTGACCACGTAGTAATAGTACGAGGATAATCTGTACCAACAGCAGTCGACAAAAAACTTTATTGTTTACGTCCGCGTATAAATCACATGATATGCGGCTTTAGCGGCCACCGCAACTGTCGGTGTACAAATAAAAACGATCAGCAGTTGGTGGTTCTCATCTACAGTCGATACCGGAGGATTTAAACGCGCGAAGAACCATAGACCCCAATTATTACCCTATCCGATAATTACCGTAACATCTGTCTCATAATACCGGTGCTGAGTAAAACAAATAACGCGCCCCAAGCTATGAGCAAAACGCGATCGCCGATTCGACGTGAACAACGGCTAGAGAAAATAGTCTACACAATAGTGAACTCGTTTACATAATATCAATATCTAATTAATTTTATCTCACGAGAGTAAATTGATTGATGGCTCATATTACGCAAATCAATAATACCGTATTAATGCGATACGAATAATTATTACCGTGTTCAGTCATACATACATTGCAAACGATAATTTCAAAATCGAAATCTCAAAAAATTCAATAATTCAATGTGCGTATATTTAATGACTATCAGAATATATTATGAAAATATCCAAGTGCAGTAACCATTTAAATAAACATTGTGGTTCAGATATTTTTGTGTTTAAAATACTAGCAACGTTTTTGTCAAGTGGTTAGTTCACACATAAATGTAATATATTATGATGTTTTAGCAAGATGATCGTTGATATGCAACGATAAAACTTAAAACATTTTTGTTGCACATTGTTTATCGCATTTCACTGTTATTATAGAAGTTGTTTATTTGATCAATTTCGATAATGTACATTTTGAAATGTGTTTTATAAATAGAAATTTAAACAAATGATTTATTTATAAATTGAAATCGTAAGAATGTACAACTAAAATTATTTAAATAAATTGTTGTATCTTAAGTATTTCATAATAATTTTACATGTAATTCTTTTAACAGGCGTTCCCGAATAAAAATTAATATTCATAAAAAAAGTAGAATGCACGATATGTAAAAAATAATAAACGTACACGGCATATGCTTTTAACTAAAATTCGTTTATTACCAGCCGACACCAAAACGGGTGTATTCATCTTTCAGTATAGATGAAGATTTAAAACCTGTCAATAATTGCCATTAACAACAGTATAACAATCGAATAGAAAGGGAAACATTACAATTGAAAAAACATCCAACACAAAAAAGTACAACAAATCATAAGCGACGAGTTCAAAATTGATATTTCCTACGCTTCTGAAATTCCCTGCGTTTTAAGGGTTCACTTTTCCGTACCAGATGGTTGTCACCCCCAACAGTCAACGATACTCGTGTAAATCTAATACGCGGCATATTACGAACCACAGAACAAGAACATTAATCATATTGTGCATTTTTTTCACTGGATATTATAACGATTTTCAAACCCGGATCGAATATTGTGTTTAATAGCTATAGCTATAAAATAATGAATTCACTGTCAAAAAAGTTTACACATGACTACGTTTATTCGCCAGATAAGTTTATAGCTTTCTCGAAATCAACAAGTGAAAACACACTTATTCAAATTTATACATATGACTAGAGTAATTTGAATTTACAAAATTCCAGTTTTGAAAAATTATCATCAATTTTTTTCATGACATGAATATTTTATCTCTAATAAAATATAGATATATAGGGTAAAGATGTAATTGCAAAAAACAAGCGGTATAGAAATGTTTACGCAGCGGTTTTCAATATAATTCGATAGCGAAAAGATCACCAGTGTCATGTTTGCTCACAGTGAACGTCGACCGTACCTCGTGTTGACAATTCAATAACCATTCGACCAAGACTCGCGTTACATACACACACTACCACCGTTTAAGTCTCCAATACTCAGAAAAATTCATTCAGTATCAGTAAACTCAACTATTGAAACATCATTGCGCTCGAGACAACAAGGTCAGCAATGAAATGTAAACAGTGTAAACGTATTTCCGTTTCGACTTTCTATAATTTATACATATGCGTGCTAACATTTACCATAAATCGTATTTCTACAATATAAAACATGCACGGACGCATATAAAATAATTATATTTATTTTTAAGCTCACTACACGGTCT